ACCTAGGACGGATTTTGAGCCCGTACTCAGGCTATCCAGACTTGTTCCTTCCCGGGGCTCCCTCGCCTTCTTGATGGTTAACACATCATAGCTTATCAGCACTTACGCAGAGATCGTGTTGAGCCGGCCAGCCAATATCAACATTTCACCACTAACCAGTAAGATGTAGGGNGAAAGTCTCACGGAGTTGGCGATTATGGACAAAGTTCCACCTAGGACGGATTTTGAGCCCGTACTCGTGCTATCCAGACACCGTGGTCTTGTTCCTTCCCGGGGCTCCCTCGCCTTCTTGATGGTTAACACATCATAGCTTATCAGCACTTACGCAGAGATCGTGTTGAGCCGGCCAGCCAATATCAACATTTCACCACTAACCAGTAAGATGTAGGGCTTTCTTGTTATAACGTTTTCTTGTTGTATATGCCACTAAGGAAGCGAGGACAAGCAGGGTATCGTAGTGTGAGGGAAAGGATTAAGTGCCCGGATAGCACAAGTACGGGTTCTAGTCCCCTTTAAGTTCCGAAGTTTTGTTCTGCATCTCGTAAATCTTGTGAGGGTATTGGGTAAAAATGTTTTACCGATGGTCTTATCAGATCTCCATGTAGTTATCCTTCATAAGTAAAGCATTTCTATTGGAGGTTACAAATCGTTGAACCCAGTACAACGGCGATGTTCGTACTCCCGAATACTGAAGGTAGCCATAAGGAGTAAAAATCTGAGAACCACTTCTTCAGATAATGGAACAAAAGCTTTGTTTTTTGAGTAATTTACAGATGCAGGACACTTATTGAATCAGTTCACTCAGTGTCTTCAAGTTGGCTCACTCGAAAACTAGAGGTTTCATTGTCACGGTAACTCTGAATCAAGGTTTATGCAGGCAGTTTCACTCATAGGACTGGTAGTGATTATTTATGACTAGCAAAAAACATTACGGTCATGTTACCATTGACCCGGTTCATGCGTTGGATCGTCGCCGAACTGGTAAGCAGTGGTGTTAACTAATGGTTTCTTGGTTTCGAGTCTGACTATCAATTAAAGAAACCTTGGAAATGGACTGCTTTTTTAGTAGTTACGGTTTTACTTGATTGCTTTCAGTGTTCTGGTACAGTTTCCTTTTACCTTTTGTGGGCGTACAAACTGGATACTCAAAAAAAATGTAGAAATGTAAATATTATATATACAGTAGCGCCCAAAAGTATCCGGTCGAACGCTTCTTCAGTCGTAATTTCAGTCCTAACTCCTTTCCTACTAGATCGAGTCATACGAAATTTCAATATGTGTAGCATGGGTGTAGTGTGAATATTTACTACTATAAACGCTCGATCTGATCATGTTCGAATATCCCAAAGAGCTTGAAATCAAAACCAACTGGAAGTACAGACATCGATGCTTCTAGGATTTCTTCCCTTTTTGCCATCCAAAGTATACGAGCGCTACTGTCGAATAGAGGAGAAAAACGCACATAAGGTGCAAATAACTGCAGACATCACAGACTTGCTTTCAGCATAGTATACGAACGCTTCCCCTTAGTTATGTGGACATTGCTGCTTTGCAGTCAAATAGTGTTGGATGCTGTTAAATATGCTTCATTTGAGCATATCAAAATTTCATGCGATTTGCTCCACTGAGAGAAAAGTTACGGAAGAAAAACTGCTTGACCGAATACTTTTGAGCGCTACTGCAGCCCAGCAGATGAACTATTTCATGAGACCATTATTTATCAGCGTCGACTGCACGTGAATTTTCTCCAACGTCGTTCCATAGCATCATTCATTACATTACAGTCACTTTTTACCTTTTAGCCTGTGATTGTGTCCTCGCATTCAGAATTTAGTTTGTTTAAAGATGTAGTGTAAACCTACAGCACCCCGGAAGAACAGTGTGATCAGAGCACTATTCAAGCTGCTTACCAAACGACTAGCATGCGTTGCAAATATACATAGCTCGGCTCATGTTAATCCTGCAATTTTATTTACTCCCTGCCAGTTATCCGAACACATAGAGTATTGCTCCAGTTACTTGCTTGAGTAGTAGGTAGTGGTAGGGAGTTACAGGCGATCAGTCTCCACATTCTGGGTCTGCCTTCGGACAGCTCAACCTTTGAAGACCACAGTTTTCATCCGTCTGTTTCCTGTATTTCGCTCTTCGCTCTTCATTTATTGATGTGTTGTTGATAAGGAATACGATTGCAGTGAGTATTCGATCGCCAAGTTCAACAATGGACTTCTGGGTATTGGCGATCGTTCTTCTGTGCTGCAGTGGGATTGCAGGTACTTTGACAAAAGTTCCGGATATGTGACAGCATAAAAGATCAGGGCTATGCGAAACGGTCGGTAGCAGCTACAACGTGATGACAAAGTTTTTCTTGAAACAAGTTCTTCAGTTATACTATGAATTTCTGCGGAATTTATTTATTCGAAGTACACACAATGGTGAACTTCAGTAGCAAGCAATAAAACAAAACCAGTTACAAATTTAAACAGCAAAAAAAGTTATAAAAACGCACAGTAAGAAAAACGATACCCATAAGTGGATTTTTTTAGGCTATACACGTCTAGAAATCTTGTATGCCTAACAAAGCAAGGAGTTCTAGCTTCCTCAATTTCTTTTTGACGCACCGGTATTTCGTGCCTTTTGCAGGTCTAATGGTGATAGTTGAAGCCATCTTGCTTCACGGAAGAAAAGCGAATGAAATACACGGGCCCTATGATTACTGTTCAGTTCAGGGCATTGTAGTGATAACGAATGTACGACCTCTGCACGGTCTGATTACCTAGTAATTGCTCAGCCGTAGCTTGAGTTCACCCCTCAGCATTTTAAAACAGAATACTATATCGTTGAGTACGTTCCTGTACAATAGTGTTTTAAGATTGAAACGGTGCAGGCTGTCATCATAGGTCGGTAAAGATCGCGGGTATGTTGGGTCAGGAAAACATTTACACATTAACATTCTTGTGAAAGACTGCTGAACTCTCTCAATTTTTGCCTGAAGATTCTTGATATGAGGGTTCCATATCTGTGAATCGTATTCGAGTATGGTAACAACGTATGTCTTATAGAGCCTTATCAAAATTGAAGCATGAGAAATAGCTTTTCATGAATCACTTTATCGAAAGCCTTTGTCATATCGAAGTAGATAACATGTACATCCTTCCCTTCGTTCATAGCAAGGTTGCAATCAAATATACATTCTGCCATAAGTGTAACTGTGGGAGCACTGCTAATGAAACCGCTTGTTCAATAGGTATAAGGTTGTTTTTCATTAGATGCGATACAATTTTATCACGTAATATTCTTTCCGGACTTCAGCAGGTGACGCAGTAATACCTGTAGTTCGAAAAGAAGAGACTAGTTCCGGTCTAGTTATTTTGGGTATAGCTGTAATGACAGATTCCTTCCAGCACGACGGGGCCTGACTATACATACATCAGCGATGCGTTAACTATCATACAGATAGGTTTCCTCAGCGGGGTGGCGCAGATCTTGAAAACAATTTGAGGAACACCGTGAAAAGGTACCGAAGTAGAGCAGTTCAACGATTTCACTACTCTACGCACTTTGTGGGAAGTTACCACACACTGATTGATAGAATTCGAGCACGCACAACGCCACGCAGCGCAACGCAACGCAGGAGCCACTGCAGAGTTGGCAACTGATCTTGGGGCAAAAACCGAAAAGAACTGCGCAAGGGCTTCTGCTTTTTGAGGATCAGTCAAAAAAACCTCCTGCCATTTTCATCTTCAAGTAGAAGAATGTATGGGCGTGGTTTAATCTTATACATGATCAATGCAAAAATAGCTCTTTTGAGAGTTATCAGTGGCTCGCTTTTCTTTATGACTAAAAATCTCCTCAGATGATGATCAAGCTCCTGACAAACTTTTTTGTACTGAAAAATCAGTAGCGGATAATCTTGCAACATATCATAGAGCCGAGATTTTTGAGCTAGTAAATTGTTGATATGTTTCGGATATCGTATTACTGGGACCGTCATGTAATGAAAAGGTACATACTTAGCCAAACCTGCACGGTAGACAATGCGGCAAAACCTTTTGTAAACGTCATCAGCAGAATTGTAGCCATCAAAAGCGTCCCACCAATTAATAGAAGGAAAATAATTTGACAGTGCAAAATAATCTGCTTTGAGAAAATCCCGTGGGAACGTTTATAGAGATCACACATTCTCAATACAACGCGGCTGTGGATGATCGTTGTTTTGCGCCCTGTCTACTTGAACAACTTGAGCTAGTAAAAGATTAAATTGAGTGTTGTCTTATTTTAGTGTTAGGCAAGAGGGGCTCAAATCTGTACCAGTAACCCCACAGTTTGCTAATCCAGTACCCCCACAGTTTGTTGGTAAGGGATGGAACATTAATGTGCGATGGGCAGTGTAGAGGGAGTCAGAAGAATCTCTGTCACTCGCGTTTGGGATTTTTTCAATTTCTCTGCCGGAACTTCTGTGTAGTCTTATCTTACCAGTGGTTGTTCGTAATTCCTCAGTGAAATGGTTGACAACTCATTTGGAACTGAGGAACTGAGACCTCGGGCTGGGCTTATTGTTACGCTCTTGGGCGCCTGGGGCACCTGCGCGTACTCACTTACCTACGCCCCAGCTTCGTCTGGAATGAAGCTATTCCTTCAGTCATGCCATCGCCTTATTCGATTTACTGAGGATTCGATGAAAAGTGCTAGCTTTTAAGAGTATCTCTTCTGCCACCCGTGCTGGGATCAGCACCAAGCTCTTTGATGTATGTTTCACTTAATGAAAAGAATATAAAGAAGATCCAGCTTCTCGATCACACTTTCGACACCATGGCATTCCTACTCTGGAGTACGACCCGGAGACTTGAACTCTACAAAAGCAGGATGAACAAACACTCAGCGTCATCCACATCGCTGTGGGACGGACGATGCTCGGAATTTCTCCACACAAGTGATCAGAGATGCCGTTGCTCATGTCGCGGAATGAGGTGGGCCGATATTGCAATGGCTGCTAGACCAGAATGATAACTAACGTTGCATTCCTTGAGACGTTAACCCATTGCGTACCTCAGTGTTTTGCGCTAGCTGCCGCATGTTCCCGACGTTTCCTTCAAAATCGACGCAGGCGACGTGGTTCACGGCGTGCAGCACGCAGCCACCCAGAGCGGTTGTTTGAGCGAATCGCAAAGTATGGGCTGATCGAACTTCAATAAAACTCTAGAGTGATTTTGGACGAAAATGCGGGCGCGAAGAGGCAGAGGGGCGTGCTTCACCATGTGCAGCACGCGGTACGCAATGGGTTAAGTGAACTCCGGCACGCTAGCGAGAGCGATGGTCAGACTTCTTCACGAAAAGTATGAATGAAAGGGCTACTTCATATGCTGTATGCTTCGTGTCCCTCAAGCGAGGCGATTCACTTCACCGCTCCGGTTCGCGACAGGAACGAATGGAGGCGACACTGGCGTCGTCTCGAGCAAGCTGTAGGACATTGTCGGTCTGTAATCGTCTGGGTGCCTGTCACATGAGCGGTCGGCGTCCTAACGCTTCTTTATGAATGGCGCAGCCCTGACAAGGCCGTCATAAAACGCTCCTTTTGGATCTATACGTTGATCACAGTGGTTTTCGAACCATCTACAGCCTTGTCAAAGTCATTTTTCGATCCAACAATGTCCCATGCGTGGAACTCCCATGAAGGCGTCCTTAGTTATCTATCCCCCCCAGTATGGATCAGCAACCGTCGTTATCGCTCTGAGCCAACGTCAACAACCGTCGCTACTTCGAGTACAACCAGTGCACGCTTCTAGTGATCAGCTGTTTGAATTTCCAATATATGTATTATGTAATTCAAGGTGGACACTGCACCCCCCACAAGCCTTCCACTCAGTCTCGCCCAAAAACCCCTACATATGTAGCATCCTTGGGTCGGAGCATCGTCGCAGTAGGGATTTTGAGACAATTCACGAGCACTCACAACACAATATCATCTTTTTTCAGGGCAATCCTCACATCATCCTTGTGCTGCTCGAAACCTCGGCAACAATCGTGTGGTTTGTGTGTGTAACACGACTTATTGCGATGATATCGAGCCCGTTGGTGATCTTCGAGCGGGACAAGCAGTATTATACTACTCATGCCAAAACGGTAGTCGGTTGGTGAAGTCCAACCTACGACAGACTGCTAATCGAGCAGGTAACCAGTGACAATTTACTCCTTAAAAAAGTTTTCTATCCGTGAACCACTGCCTTTAATTTTTGCGACATCATAACACAAACAAAGACTTTTTTTGAATATTTTTTGCAGAAAAAAGCGTCCTTCTCACTCTGGACTCACGAACGACTTATCAGAAAATGCTAGGATTCGGAGGGGCTTTTACTGATGCCGTTGGAATAGTGCTCCAGTCATTGCCAAAGTCGATGCAAAACACCATTATTGAGGGATACTATGGACCCAGTGGTATTAAGAAAAATATCTCTTTTCGTAAATCGAGAACACGAGAACATTACAGGTCTACAGTACACAATTGGACGGGTGCCAATAGCTAGTACAGATTTTTCCACTCATGAGTATAGCTATGCTGATACACCAGGAGATTTCTCTCTATCCAATTTCTCGCTTACTATTGAAGATTGGGAATACAAGGTACCGCTGCATGGTGATTCATCATTTTTTTTTCGAACAGTCATAACCTTTTCGAAGATCATCAGAGTACTAACATCGCTGTGGCCTGCGAAATAAAAGCACCTCCCAGTTCGTTGGTAAGTCACAGTTTTATTAGGTCGGGTGGAAACTTTCCAGACAATAAGGTGGTAGCTTGGGAGGCTAAACATGTCAGCTACCGTTGATATAGCTCAGTCTGGAAGTTTCATCGGATTTGAATCGCAGCCTGAAGGGGAGGAGGGGGAGTGGGATCGATCTGTATCATCAAACCAGAATCTGTTCGAAAACACTCCAGGAGCGACTATCGTGAAATCATAGTCGCTCCTGGAGTGTTTAGAACATTTTAGTCCACGGATTGAAACCAAGATGCGAAGACTCGGTTAATATTTACTTGCTCTATAACACAGTCAGATATGAACCGCTGCGTTGATATGGCATGTTTCCTCTACACACTCGTGCGCGATGACTACCAATCACCGGAGGTCGGAAGCAGTTCTCTATTCTACCGCTAGGTACCCTATAACGGACTCAGCAAAGTTTTTGTCAACTCATTGAGCATTGCGGGGCACGTGATGGAGTATCCAAGGAGTTGATCACCGAAGGTTGCTTGCAGAAGAACGTGCATTGTCTGCAGACTACATTGCGCAGTAGAGAGCGCTGGAAGTATCACGTTGTCTGCTTCCAGCACGACAACTCTGTTACGCACATTGCGAAACCGACCAAGACGAAACTGATGAAATTCGTCTAGACCATCGTGAATAATCATCGTATTCCTGGGGCTTGGCTTTCTTAAATTCTATCGTCTTCATGCTTCTATCCATCTCAGAAGCTATCTGGATGGTCAATACTTGCGAACCCGCTAAAAGGAAGAAAGCTTCGAGCGGTTCATGAAGGATCAACCCTCAGCGTGGCTGCAAGGAACCTTAGGTTTGCTCAAACAATGAAAGGAGACCATGCACAGCGAAGAGTAATAATTCCAATGATTCATAATTATTGTTCTTAAAATTAAGCTACTCGAAACAACTGTCAGTTTTCCGTAAACTTTCGATTCACCGGAGAATTGAATACCCTGACTTACTTCGTGTATGCAGTGAGTTGAGTGGCTCTGCCAACTTTGTGTGGTAATCGTGGACATCAATTGATCGCATTAGTGAGTAATGCCCATATCTCAACGAGTAAATTTCCGGAACATCCAAGGTCAATGATCGATGTACCGTTTGTATCAATTTTTACTTTATTTGGACGGATTTCAAGCAAAAACATACCCGGTTTAGCTGTGTACAATAGTTCCGGTGTGAAAACAACTACAGCGCCTTTATTGCTATTCCCTTTTATTATTACTTGAATTACACGCTCTAAAAATCTCTGGATTTCAGATTCCATACATAATTCAAGCACAGAAGCTATCTCAAAACTCCACTAAATTCTTCGCGTCGCCCTGGAGTGCGCCAGGTATGATGCTCCTTAGGCTAACTCCTAAACTGAGTGCACACACTAAGCTGTTGAAACAAGGAAGTTGAGAGTAGAGGCGGTATTGGTAACTCGCTCGTCATAAAGGAGAAGCGCCACAGGGATGAGAAGATGAAGACCTGAATGACCTGTCCGATGCACACACTGATCAGCCGTCAAAAACGAACAATGTTAGAATAGCGGATCAAATCTTCTGGTCATTTTGGATAACAATTTATAACCGAGAGGCAATCGACTTCCGTTCAGAATCGTATTTGCTTTCAGAGTGCGTGTGTGACCTATGAAGTTTCTTGCGGTAGTCAGCCAGTGTACAGTTCAGTATCTCGAACCTGCAAGACGGGCCTGGTGTGAATTAACTGACTCAATGGGAAGGAAGCTCGGTTAGGGGACTAAGTGGGTAGCGATTCGGGGTACCATGCTTGCTAAGTGTGCTGTTTGGGCCTGCAAGACTTCCGAAATTTCTTCACGGTTTATAAACCGCTGGTGGAGGGGCGTTAGTTTAGATTTCCATCAAAACAAAACAAAACAAAACAAAACAAAACAAAACAAAACAAGGGCTTTGCTTTATCCAAACAAACCAACTTTTCCAGCGTGGATGAAAACGAATGGTCACATGAAAGGCGGCGGTCGGTTACGAGGCAAGGAAGGAGGAGAGTATTATCAAACATGGGCAAATTATTTCGTAAGGTTATTATTAGGATCATCATTTTCGAAGGAGTGTTTGGTTGAAGACAATTATCGAAAGAGGGTGCCTTCGAGGAGAGATCATACTAGTCATGAGCAGGCTCAATCCTCATGTGCTCAGTGCTCTCGGAACAAACGCAAGTGGGAAAGACAAGCTCAAGTACCAGGAATATCTTCCTAAGTGAGAGCACATGTTGAGGTTCCGACAGAGGTAATTTGCTTTGGTCCCACAGAATCAATCACAACTTTTGTTACACTTCCTTCCTTCAAAGCTGCGTCTGCCACTTGATCCTTCTGCTTTTGCGCTCTTCAAAACTCTAGAGAGAGGAGAAAGTTGCTTCTAAGTAGGATTCGTTAACTTCTTCAGTGGCATTCAGTCGTTTAGATGGCATTTTAGCTGATGTGGCATAGAACAAATCTTACCACGGTTTTATGCAGGGTCACATTTTTGTAGTTACATAGCGGCTTGGGTGTCGCAAAAAGATATCTAGATTGCTGAGTTTTTCCAGGTTCTTCGAGGAATATCACAAGAATGGAGTGGATTTCTGGGGTGTAACAGTGCAAAACGAGCCAACATCTGGACTCAATCCAGAGTACGGTTGGCAAACCATGTACTTCAGTGCATCAATGGAAAGGTATATTAGTTTAATGACAATCAAGTGTTTCCATGTACTACATGAAAGTGGGCCAAGAGTTAAGCCAATTGCGAACCAAAGAAAATCATCACAGTCATTCGGATAATAGACTAATTTGATGGGGTGACTTCTATCCGAGGAGCGGAGCTTGTGGGAACGCTTTGCAGTCCCTCATTGCGGTCATCAATTTTGTTGCAGCCAGGTATAACTTACAAATATAAACACAGGAGTAGTACACTTACAGTCATACAAACAAGCGGATTCTTACTCTTTAGCATACCTTTCGGAAAGTCATCACCAGGAAAAGAAAGTTTCTCGAAAAGCATGCGCAATAGTGGGAAATCACTTGTTTGTATGAAATTCACTCTTCCATCGGTCTCATCCAAGAAAACATTTGTCCAGTTGCTAGTGACGAGTGATGACGAGGTGGTGTTGCGAAGTTAGATCAGTTTTTCGTATTTTTGAAAGTTTCAAGTTATTTGTCATTTCAAGGTTGTGATAAATGTCTTGCTACCTTCAGTAATCGGTCTAGGTAGCTTTCCATTTCCCCTTCTTATAAATTAGTCATGTTAGGTATGCAGGGACGCATCCAAAGAACAGGGATTGGTTCACACCAAAAATTTTGTTCTTATCACCCTTGACGCATTGAACACAGACAGTCGCCTAAGGTGTCGTTAGATGGACATGCGAAGTAGTGCAAATGAGTGCGGAAAAGTAGAAACCTGTCACATTCACCTCGAATGCGCTTCGACTGGTCTGTAGAGATTGCCACTGTATAGGAAGGTTCACAAAAATTATATTTAGCAGGTGCTTTTGAATTTTTGACGACTAATTTAGGAGTGACATCAAAATGTTGAGAGTCAAGAAGAGAAGAGTTTTCTGAAGTCTTGTTTCAAGCAAACATTTTTTCAGGGATTTTATAAGAGATTTGCTTGGTCCAGCTTTAAAGTCTTCGCCGTACACAAAAGACATTCATTTGATGATCAACGACGACCAGCGATATACTCTTCCCGAGTGGGCGGATACTGTAAGTTCTGAAGACCAACTAGTTTGAATTCATGATTATAGCTTCCTAATTCTCTAGGGGCACAGTTCTCTAAAGATTACCCAGTGGCCCTCAAGGGTTATAGAAAATACGCTGTCAGGCCCGAAACTCCAAGAGCTAGGGGACAAAAGCAGCCTCATTACCGGATTGGCCGGAAACCACGCCCATCAATCGATGGTGATGAGTGTCGAGGCTATACAGAGTGCAAATTTTCCAGTACCTACACACATTCAGCTCATCGCCGTGTAATGAGGCGACGTTTTTCTATTATTCTTTTATTCCCTGTTATTCTTTTTGCTGCTGCGATCCTTATTCTGATTTTCTACCTGAAAGGGCTGAAAAAAGTGGGCTATTTTGGTGTTAGTAGTGTTTTTGCTAGCTACGCATACGTACGCAATGACTCACATTGTATAGCTCGTCCAAACGCCCCATTCTTCACTTTCTTATCTCAATCTCGTCCAGTCCCCTTTTTAATGATTTTTTCGGAGCATTTTATCACTTTGGAAACACCGATTCGCGTGCCTTCTTTGCCTTCATCGCACTATTTTCGATCTTGACTTCCATTTCTCATCATAATCTGGATAACCCAAAATTATCGTGAACTATGCCTTGAGTGAAGTAGTGGTAATTTAAAACGGTAACAAAAAGGGGGTTGTAGGGGTTGTATGAGACTGCGTGTCTGCAACCGTCTGGGTGTCTTCCTAATAAGCGTACTATTCGTCGGCATCCTGTCGCTTCATTATGAATGGTGTAGCCTTGATGGTACAGTTCAGGTTGTCATAACGTAGCCTTTTGATGTGTACGTCTTCCAAGACGGCTTTGCAGCCCTCATAAAGTACTGGTAAAATCTTTTTTTACTCGACAATGTTGTATGCGCTATCTTTGTGGTCGCAGCTTTATCCTAGTAGGAAACCTCAGAAATGATTTTGATGGTGAACTGTGTTCCAAATGATCACTCAATCACATCACATTGTTCCAGGTTTTGGACGATCCGGAGGCAGCTAAATACATAGCTGGTGTTGCTGTTCATTGGTATGAAGACGAGGAAGTGCCAGCGGCCGTTCTAACAACTACCCATGATCGGCATCCTGATTATTTCATACTCGCCACTGAGGTTGGCTACGAATGATAATTCATATAGACAGTAGTTTCATTAGCGTCTCACGGAATAGCGCAAAATTTGAAAGAAAGAACCAATAGGTAAAAATGGGATGCTCCATGTGGATCTTGTCTCGTTTGTTCAGCATCTCTAGGAGAGAGGCTTCGTTATTTTGCCTAGTGTAATCTTTCAAGTACATATCATGTAGAGTCATATATGGCCTTCTAACTAAAGGCCTTCTAAAGGTTCCCTCGAAATAATCAGTTTCCAGGCATGCAACGGTTTTATGCCTTTGCAAGGCGAACCTATACTAGGAGACTGGGAACGAGCGGAAACATATATCGACGACATCATAGAGGTGGGTATATATCATTCTAGATCCTAATCATACCTTAATATCATTTTGCCCACTTACTTACTTACGTTGATACTTTGATGGTCCATCGGCAAAAGGGTCTTCTCAGCGGGGACCACAGCTCCTCTACCGCCCGATCTCTCGCGACTTGCATCCAATGTAGGCCGCTTTCTCTGAAATATTTGGAAAACGAATCGGCCCACCGAATCGGCGGACGTCCTGACGGTCTTCTTTTGTTTCCCGGAAACCATTCTGTCACTCGAAGACTCCTTCTGTCATCAGTTGGACGAAGTAGATGACCGGCCCAGCGGTGCTTCGAATGTGCCATGTATTGAAGCGGGTCTTTCACACGCGATCTCTCCTGTAGGTCTGAACTTCGCAAGCTTTGCAGCCACTGTTGTCGTCGACTGATTTTCAGAAAACTTCTGTCCAACGCGTGATGAGAAGGCCTTATGGCTTTGGCGATTGTTTTATTGTCAGGCCACGTTTCAGTCGCATAACACATCGCTGGCAGTACTGAGGCGCTGAATATCGATGCCTTGAGGTCGGGATCGCTGACCTGGTCCGTCACTTCACGAATTGAACCGAAAGCTGCCCATGCAGCACGTCTTCTCCGATTTGGTTCTGGAGCGATATTGTTCATCATGTTCAGCTCTCTTCCCAGATATACGTAGGATTCAACTCTTTGCAGAGTTTTTCCTTCTAACCTTACTGTTCCCGTATCGCACCACTTGTTAACCACCAATTGCGTTTTGGACATATTATCTCCAAGCCTATCCGCCGGCTTACCGCATTGAGTTCGTTGACCAACTTTTCCATTTCAGCTGTGCTGCTTGATATCCAGACGATATCATCGGCGAAGCGGAGGTTATTGAATTTTTTGCCGTTGACGGGATATCCTCTTTCTTCTCGTCTAGGTTCAACATCGCGTGTTGTAGCGCAGCCGTGAAAAGCTTTGGGGATATGATATCGCCTTGTCGCTCCCCCTTTCCAACTGGAGTCTTCAGCTTTCGGTCGAACAGCTGGATGAACTTTGATGTGTTTGAGAGGCATTGTTCGAGCAGGTGGACGTAGGCGGGATCAACTCCAGCTTGCACAAGAGCATTTAAAACAGCGTTGATCTCTACAGAGTCGAACGCCTTCTTGTAGTCCACGAAGAGAAGGGCCGAAGGAAGGCGGTATTCTCGGCTTCTCTCGATAAGCTGGCTGACTGCTTGGATGTTAACCATGCACGAGAAGTTTTTCCTGAATCCAGTTTGCTCTACTGGCTGGTATTCGTCCAAGATGCGTTACATGCGATGAAGCAGAATTTTCGTAAATGACTTGTAAACCACCGACAACAGGCTGATGGGACGGTAGTTGGAGATGTCTTCTCGCTGACCTTTCTGCCCACAGTGAGCCAAATAAGAGATTTGTTTTGCACCGATTCATCTGTTTCCAAGGAATCATTCCAAATCCATACAGAATTGTAGTGGTAATGCATACTCAGTCTACATGAGTGGGGCGTGGACCCATCAGTGAATAATCTGATCATTTTATTTTCCTCAACAAGTCCCTTGGAATCACCGCTCCAGGGAGGATTGCATGCTTGTTGTTGGTTGGCGAGGCTGAGTTTCTATACGAGATTATGTCCATTAATGGTAGCGGATGCGAAGGTTTATAAAGAGAAGGAATGAGAACTGTGACATAAGCGTTTGTCCAAATTAAGAGTCGTCTGCCATATTGGAGGTGGCGAACGTTCCGAGAGTCAATGAATCTATGCGCAGACATATTTATAAGACCACTACCATTCTATGAACAGCATATGCTCACTAAGCCTTCAACCTCACCAACCCATACTTCTTCCTAAGTATTGGTCGGCACATGCCATCGTCGTCGACATGGCAAAAGTAGACCGACATTTGTAGCTAGTCGTGTTGAAAATCTTCACCTCATATGGGTTGAAATTATGCCAATTGTTAAGGTGGTGAGTACAGGGACAAACTTTGCCATTGGACGAGAGTCGAACCCTTACTTGTGCTTTCCGAGCACCGCTTTTTTTCTCTCACCCTACCAAGATCCTGCTCGGCCTCGCCTTTTTGAGGGCTTTAATGCCATACCTCATAAGCACTCACTCGTTCAGTTGTAATACTTCCTTAAAATGCACAGTTTGACTTGATATGCATGTTGAGCAATTAAACAGTAATCAAAGTGCGAGTTGGAGTCCCTTCCAGGCCGAAATTTTGCTCAAAACCCACACTTTGCTGTGCTGTGCTCCTTGTGACACTTTCGTTTGGCGTACTGATGTGCAATAAGGAATCCTAGCCGTTAAGGAAGCTATGTTATAAAAGCAATCGAGAAGGTTACCGTATGCGGGGCCACGGGCGTGCAAGAAACAAAGAGCCCGGTCCAAGTGAAGCAAAGGTACGTGTTGGAGTCCCTTCCGGCACCGAACTCTTGTCACATCTCGCACCCTTGTTAGACTTTCGCATAGTGTGCTGCTACGAAATAACAGCAATCAATTAAAACATGAAGTCAACCTAATTGTAAATTACTATTACCGAATGTCCTTCTGAAAACGTAGCTCACGACAATATACATGCAAACCTTCATCTTCTGAAGTCGTCTGGCTTATCTGTTGAATCTCGGAAGAAACAATGGGGAATTATTATCATTTTCACCGTTGTCACTCTTTATTATTGACTAAGGTAACAAACTTTTAGTAGTCAGAGTGATCTCTTTTTCAACAGCATTTTTGAAAGATTATGGCCAAAACTCAAAACTTAGGATGTTGCGAACTGGGTGGTTGGCTGGGTGGACTGGAATATCTGTCTGGATATGCAAGGCGGTCCCAATTGGGTGAAGAACTTTGTTGATTCACCGATCATTGTGAACGCCGAGAAGCAGGAATACTACAAACAGCCGATGTGGTACGCATTGGGTCATTTCAGGTTAGTCATACTCATTATACAGTCTTTTCGCCTTTCTTTCTGTGATTGTTCACACATGACGTCATATGCCAAGAGTTCATTTGAATGATGAAAGCCCCTGACTAATGATTGATAGATTAGATTTTTGATAGGTTTATGGATAAACACCGAGAAAATTTACATGGAAAAAGCCTGTTGGAGTGGAATTTCTTGTATAAGTGGTGTTCGAAACAAACTCTTGAATAATTTTCCTTCTTCTTCTTCTTCTCCCTTGCATTAGTCCCGCGCCGTCGCAGGGTCCGCTGTTCTTGTAAGCCGTCCTTGGCTTCGGCGAGGTCCTTCTTGATCACGTCCCGCAATCTCTTCTTTGGGGCTCCTCGTGGTCGCTTGCCTTGCGCCTCGAGCTCCATTGTCCTCCTTATCGGGTGGCTCTGTGGTCTTTTTACGACATGTCCGAACCATCGTAAACGCTGCTCCCCCACCTTTAGTTGAACTGGAGCTGTTTGCATGACCGTCCTGACGTCTTCATTCCTGATCCGATCCAGCCACGTCCAGCCCAAGCCCATCTGAGCATTCCCATTTCAGCGGAGTGGAGCTGCCTTTCATGGGTTTTACTTACTGGCCAACACTCGCTCCCGTAGAGCATCGCAGACCTTACCACTGCCCGATACACCTTTCCTTTGAGAGTTCTGGAGCACCTACGGTCGCAGAGGATACCAGTGGGCTCCCTCCACTTCATCCATGCTGCGTTTATTCAGAATTTTACGGCCTGGTCCACGCTACCATCAGCGGCTAGATCACTCCTCAGGTATCGGAAGTCCTGGGCCTTTTTGATGGCTTCCCCGTAACCGTCGATGTTTGACTTCGTGCCCTCCTCGGAGCTGAGGAACTTGTCTTTTTCACGTTTAGCTGGAGTCCATTTTCCGCCAGCACTTCCTGCCACTTCTGGAGCTTGTCCTGGAGTTCTTCCTTGCTCTCCACTATCAGAGCGATGTCATCAGCGTACAGGATGGTCTTCAGTGGTCCATCCGTGAGTTCTTCTGTGATGACGTCCATCGTGAGCAGGTAGAGAAACGGGCTCAGAACTGATCCCTGGTGAACCCCAGCACTCACATCTATCGCTCCCGTTTGGCCGTGCGCATTGCGTATTGTTGTCGTAGAGCCATCGTACATGTCCTCGACCACAGAGATGAGGTGTCCTGGCACGTTTCGTTTTCGGAGCGGTCTCCATAGGACTTTTCGCGGAGGACGGTCGAATGCCTTCTTCAGATCGAAGAATGCTAGGTAGCAGGGTCTATGCTTTTCTCAATACTTCTCCATAACTTGTCTGGCTATAAAGATGGCATCCGTTGTAGACCTTCCAGGCATGTAGCCAAAGTGCTCCTCTGAGATTGGGACCAATTCTCTCAATCTTGAGTCGACCAATCGCTCGTACGGTTTCATTGTGTTAGCAGTCACTCTGATCCCCCGATAGTTGCAACACTCCATCGCAGCCCCACTCTACTTGAAGATGGGAACTATAGTACTGCTCCCCCGTGCATCTGGGATTCTTCCTTCCTGAATAATTCGCCTTGGAACAATTTTTACGATGGTGGGTTGAGCTAATGGTTTTGCGATGTCTAACTCGATTCCTAAACAGTCCGAGAGCCCCGAAAGTGGTAGTACATATATCATCGTAATATTCGTACTCAATGCTGTCTCAATGCTGACGCTTTTCCGGTACTTATGCCCTTTCAAATACTGCGGCAACACGTGAGTGTCACCTCGTTTGATTGCAAAAGATGCGGGACATGAGAACCATCCGAGTTTTTAAAACATTATTCGTTTCTTGTTTCTTGACTTATGAAGATTATGCTCAGAATTACTACTTATGAAGAAACTGAAGGCTGATTTATAAACTTTTCCTCGCTTCAATCCAACTCTATACAATGCGCTAAGGGCTGCTGTTGATTTGTCGGAGTGTGTGTATTTGACGTAAATTTATAACTGCTGTACCCATGCCCCTAGAACATTCGAATTTGGTAGAAGTGCACGCGGCAGAATGCGAACACTGATGATAGATTGGTGGTGGGACCAGGCTACGCTCTTAGGAGGCGTAGTGTAGACGAACATTCTTAATTTGGACCTAGAGCGTTCAAATTTGGCTGTAGAACAGGCGCCAGTACGGAAACACGGATGATAGTTACAGGTGGTAGGTGGTAGAAAAAGACTGAACCGAACTCCGCCCGGGTGGAGGGCGAGGCGGGGCGGGGCGGAAGGGGGGAGGGGCGGGGAAGAGTGGTAGGAGGGGAGAGGATAGGAAGCCGAGTGGAGAGGGAAGCGTACTTGTGTCAAATGAGTGCGATTTGGGTAGAAATACGAAGTCAGAACGGAATAAGTGGGGAATGAATCGAGTTGCTCAAACACGCGGAACTCTAGCAGGACTCTGCTCATGACAGGCAGGGTGCACACGAAATTTGTCGGAGTGTGTTTGGCTGGAATTCATTATCGGAAATCGATAACTGCTGTTTTGTTTTTCTGAACCAGAGTGTCCAACTATGAAAGGGGAGCAGGCGGCAGGTCAATTCTAACAAGTGAAGAAGGACAGCTGGACGTAAGCCAGGTGATTCCTCTGGTATGTACTTATTATGATTGGCTTCCTCGGCGGTCGTTTGCGTCGTGCCCTTGTCCAAGCGGTCGAAAAAGGTATTCTAAAACGAGGTTGAACTACTAGAATTTGGAGCATGGCAAAAGTTTTCATCTTAAAAGATGAACTCGATTCGAGTTTCAGAAACGAAAAAATTTGTTCGAGAAAGAGTAGAGTTGTGATGTCAGAGTATCCTGAAACTCGTTCTTAATTTATTTATTTATTTATTTATTTATTTGGTGCACGCTTAGGTGCGCTAACTACAATTCCAAGATCACATTAACTCAACAACCTGCACTCAATTGAGAGAAAGTATGGTTCAGAACAAATGGTAGGAAGATAGAAAGATCTCCAGTCAGGTGCAATATGAAAAGATTGAACGAAAAGTAGACACTACGAGAAGGTCAGATAGGGTCAGATAGGTACTACGAGCTGTATGCTGTATGATAATTGAAGAGCATCCACATTTGATTTCATCAGGCGGATGGCGCTAGGGATAACGCCACTCCCAGACAAACACTAGCATACCTTTGGAATAGGAGACC